GAGACAAACGAAGATCAGTGACTACTAGCTAAGTAACTGGTACCAAATTCTCAGTTCTAAATGTAACTACTGCATGGATGACTGCACCGAAATGAAAGCTGATGAAGATAAAACTACAACTATATTTGTTTGCCAAGATAAATACATTAACCCACTAAATGGAGTATTAAGTTAACTAGTAAAAGTACACCATAAAAGTGTTATGTAATAAATAAATAAAAATACAACCAGATGACATTGAATGATACATATTAATAACCAATGAATTAGAAAAAAGGGATACCCTCTTTTACATTTATCAGCATAAACAGCTAAAGAACTTTAAAATCGTGATTGGAGATGTCCACTCAATGTCAGACATACATGACATTAAAGTAGAAATTTAACAGTAAGGGCAAAAAATAATACCTATAAACAATTTGTTAAGGAACCTAAATAAGTCTTCAATGCTCTTATCCTTTGCAGATGTTAAACAATAAAGTATTTTATAACATTAAGCGACTTTACTATGTACTGTTGTGAATACTGAACAACTGCATAAAAAAGAAGGCTCGGCAATGTATGTAGTATCAACAATTTGGTCACACCAAAAATTATTGTAAGTGACCCAAAAGTATGTAGAATGTGCATGTCAGCATCACACAAAAAATTGCACCTGGAATAGCAGGAATAAAGAGGTCAAATGTTATAATTGTGCAGGTAACACCTTGCAAATTATAAAGGATGCATAATCCGTAAAACTTTTATAAGTAAAATGTTCTTGAAAATAAGGCAACAAAAACTGTACTATAGACAAATAATATTTAAAACAAATCTTATCCATTAAAACAAAACGTATGCAGCTGTTGTATGTTCAAAACTTCCTGATAATGTTGATGACAAAACACATGATGATCTGCCTTGCAGCAAGTTAGAAAATGTGAGGATGCAGTTAGTGTCGAGTATAAGTACAATAATTAATCTGTTAAATATACTGATCACTAAAATGCATAATGACTAACAAGTCTTACAAAATTGGTAATCTGAAATGCAAACAGTTTAATTAGAAAAAGTCAGGAACTAATCTTCTTCCTACACAATAATAAAATAGATATAATGCTAATAGTTAAAGCACATTCCACGGAAAAAGGCTATCTAAAAATACCTAACTACTCGATTTATCATACGCAACATCCTAATGCTATCGCTCACGATGGCTAAGCGGTTATTGTGAAAAACTTAGCTAAACACTATGAAATTTCTAAATATAACACTGTGCAACACAATTCTTGATCTGTAATATCCATTGGGTAACTCTTGTATAACTTACATTCCTGAATATATATCCGTGAACGAAATTGCTCCATCAGCCTCAGTTTTCAAAAAATGAGTTTCTGCAAAAACGCACGATTTTTGGCTAAAATGGAAGACTACATGAAAACTGTAAAAGTTAGGAGGTTCATTCTTATCTTAAAGGTTAGGTGAAAGTTTCTTGAAATTATCGATGCCCATAATTATAATTATTTATGCTTGTGAATAATTACAGTTGGTCATCAAAATTTTAAAATAAGCCGCCGAGCGTACTTTCTACGCACTATTCTTGTATTTTTACAAAAGATTCTTTATTCAGCACGAATTTGCTATATGATATATTGTCCTGTAAACTTTTCTGAAGAAGAAATCATCCAGGGAAGATATTGGAATGGTCTTCGATGTTGACACGACTGCAAAATATACATCTGCAAAGTGTTTTACCGCCATGCAGCTATTGGTCACTTGTCTAGGTAATCGTGCATACTTGTCACCAAACGCGTCGTCCAATATATCACATTTTTTTATGTATCTCAATTTAAAACAATTTAGTTATTTAATACAAATGCCTCTTTAATATAAAGTTGTAAAAAAGTAAACATAGTTGTCACCAATTTAGTTCAAATTTTGCAGGATGGTAGATTTAGTTCCCCTGATGGTGAAGCTATATATAGGTATATTATAGGTGCCACTACTTAATAATTTTTAGGATATTTGCAATTGAAAATTTATCGTTTAATTCAGTTCTGTTCGGACAATGTAATGGTTTATTGGAGTAGCAACGAACTGGTGCTCATATGCGTTCGAACCCAGTTTCAACTCTGAGGAGAACGAGAATAATCTTTTTCTTTCAATTCTTTTTTATTTTGTATGAATTTTTTACATATAAAGATACATAATGGCGTTTAAATAAATTGGAAATAAAATGTCTTAATTTACTAGATATCTCACCAAAAATTTTGTTTGCCATAATAGAACATAAAAATATAAATTATCGTTAAACGCAAAAAGTTATAGATACGATCACTTATACAAATATTTATTACAACGTGGTCTTTATGTTTGGTCCACGTTTCCGTTCGCCGTATTTCTCGTCTTACGTTTGTGCTTACATTATAACTGTTTTCTAAAGGTTGTGATAAGAATGACACAAAGGAATACAGGTCAAAAGCTTTATATTTTATATTATTATAAATATTTTTATACTATTCATTATTTTTTTATTTTACTAATATGAATATGATAATAGCAAACAAAATTTTTGGTGAGATATCTAGTAAATTAAGACATTTTATTTCCAATTTATTTAAACGCCATTATGTATCTTTATATGTAAAAAATCCATACAAAATAAAAAAGAATTGAAAGAAAAAGATTATTCTCGTTCTCCTCAAAGTTGAAACTGGGTCTGAACGCATATGAGCACTAGTCCGTTGCCACTCCAATAAACCATTACACGATAATCCTTCTGAACAGAACTGAATTAAACCAATGATACATCTTCAATTACAAATATCTTAAAAATTATTGAGTAGTGACACGTATAATCATATAACTTCACCAACTGTCAAATTCAAGAAATTTGTGAATGCAATGTTACAAGATTTGTGAAACAGGAAAAAGACTTTCCCATTTGATGTGGTGTTGAACATTTATATATTTTTTCTGACACTGTTCCAATAATTGAATGTTATTTTTCATATTGTTTGTATTACTACATGTTATTTATTTTTGCATTTTATGTAAATAAATACAGTCCTTACTTACTTACCCTTAAGTGTTGCTGTACTTAAAGATATAAGGCTACAAAATGTCTTGTCTGCCAATAGTGTAATATTTGTGTTTTGTCAAAAATACAAGAAGAATAAAATCTTTCAGAATATGAGTTGAGACATAGTAAGAACCAGTATGTTGTGTGTGTATAATCCAAAAAAGTCCCAAAGTAAAAGTGCTTATCTGGAGAAAATATTACTACCAAATGATGAGAATATACCTATACAACAAAGTAGAATAACAATTTTATTTCATTAAACTCATATACATTAAGATTTTATTTTCTTTTCCTGAGATAAACATAATGTGAATTGTTACTCAAAATGACATACCGTAAAATACAATGGTTCACGAAAGTATTAAAATGTTACTTTTCAAGGGAATTCTCCAACCCAAAAGTTCTCGTTTTAATGAAAGTTTGTGTATGGTAAATCATATCTAGTTACACATAGAGTAACTTTTTTGGTGGTTACAAATGTCTGAAAAAATAAAATCAACAATTAAAGTTTTAACAATTTCTTTATTTTTAAATGGTATCTCACAAGGGGAAATCTATTATAAAATGATAAAAATTAAACATGTTTCGCTTGAAAAGTTTTACTTTATCTCATTATGCTTTATATACTCATAAACTTACATTAAAATCAGAATTTTTAGGTTAGAGAACTCCCTTGAAATGTAGCAATCAATAGAACAGTATCAATAGAACAGTATCAATTTTGTATATTTACATTATTTCTTGAAAAACAATGGTAACCTTCAAATTTTTTGATAGAATTCTATTTATTTTTTTTTGTTATATGAAAGCATGTGTCAATACGTGTTTAACCATGTGGTATACCATGGCATTCAAGGTCATACGATCTTAGGTAAAAGATATATTTCTGTTTTATAGTATCATATTTACGAATATTTTTTTCTCTGATAGACTTGGCTTGTACAATAGGATTCAGTAACTTCTCATTTATTATCAGTGTTTATAACTGTATAATTTTGGTTGTGACTCACTGTATATAAGTTTATATCATCAAATTTTGTTAACTATTCCGTTACACTTGCTGTAATTCTTCTAATAGTAATTTATCATACAAAATGATTTACTATTCTTACCTTTAATAAGTGAATTATTTAACAATCTTTGTAAGAACAATTTATAGGTAAGTTGGTAGAGCGATTAACTAGAAAGATACGTAGGGTATTATATTATAGTAAGTTGTTCCAATCAATCCCCTCCATCCCTTTTTTTTTTTTTTTTTTTTTTTTTTTTTTTTTTTTTTTTTTTTTTAATACAACTTTGAACTGAACAAATATTTTATTTATTTTTGCATTTAATCTTAATCCTATATAACATAAATATTAATTGCAAAGCAAAAAAACAAATTTTTAATATAGAAAATAGAAGTACAGTAATAAAATAACATTATGAGTCGCATATATTTTTCTGTATTAATCAGGAGAAAGAATAAATCAAATTTTTTTTCAGTCCAAAGTTTTGTTAAAAACAAAAACGTTACTTAAGTCAACCACTCCAAGGACTTATCCACAATTTGTTCTGATAAAAATTGTTAAATAATTCAGTTACTAGGCGCATACAAAATTTTAAATCAAAATATTTCGAAAATAAAGCCCCATTCTGAAAAAACCTATTAGGGTATTTTGGTACTATGTATGTACTATAACTTGTATCTACTACCGTTCCAGAAACGATTTCCACTGGCGTAAAGTTCCAAGTTATTACATATTTCGCTCTACTTTACATATCGATATTGCTAATCATGAACATACTAAATCCGAATTCTCACGAGAAACATAAGAAGCTCAAAACAATAACTACGAATGGTTACTTTTTTCATTCTGTCCTACAATTGGCTATATTTCTAGTAATAGTATTGTGGTTTCGTTCGTATGCATTCGTACGTAAGAAGTATATATGAAACTGCATTCTTGTAATGCATACGTATGAATCAAGTGATCGAATATTTACTTTGTTGGTTTAAACATGAAGTTTGACAACTAAGAATTGAAATTTGCCTTCATTGTCTATTTATATACCGCATTTATAGGAATACGCGCTTTAATTATACTATCATGGTACGTGAAATAATTATGGTTCGTTTTGTGTTTGTGAATGTTCGCATAATATTACATTATAAAATAAAAACGTACATTTATATTTTAATATTTCTATTAGTGATATTTAATACAGATTATTTTGAAAATAAATTAAATATGAGATATAAGTATTTTAATATTTACTACTGAAAATAAATAAATGGTTTTGCTTAAGTTATTGTTAATACATAATGCAAAATCATCAAAATATTTTAAAAATATTTATTGCCTTTCTTTTCATTAATGCAGTAAATGTTGATTCCTCAAATTTTGGTTCTAATAAGAATTTTTTTATTAGACAAATGTTTAGTTTTTCTATATAAATTATTTCCTTTTATTTCAGAATTATACAGTTAAATTTTTTATTTTCTTTTTCCAAGTTTTTGTAACAAATTTTGAATAAAATTTGTAATAAATTCAAACTTTAAGAACAAATGATATTTTGATGATCATATTTCTATACTATATACAATATTTTTTATGTATATAGGGGATGATCTATTATCAAAGTATATAAATAATGTTATATTTACAGGACAATGATGCAGCTGCTTTGCAGAATTTGGAGCATCTTATGACCGAGTTTTTTTCTCCAGAGACAACTAATGAACGAAAACGTACAATCGAGCAAAGTTTTCAGGAGTTTGCAGGCCAAATTGATTCTTGGAGACCTTGTCTACATTTTTTGTCATCTACTAACAATCATTATGTTAGTATGTTTGCTTTATCTACATTAGAGGTATGAAGTAACATAATTGAATTTGATATAATTTTTAAGAGATTTGTACTTGAACATTGAGAACATATATTTTAATATTCTCATTTATTTTATATAATACATAGTATAACATATTGTTTCTGAAAGTATAGTTGATTATATTATTCGTTTTTAATGCAAAATCAACTTTTTAACTTGAAGAAAAAGAAATAAATATTAAACTAGTTATACAACAAATACTATTGTAGACAACAATTGGGAGGAGATGGCCAATACTCCCATGGGAAGATAGAGCTCTTACAAGATCAACCTTATACACGTTATCATTAGAAAGAGGTGTAGCTCCTTTTGTAAGAAACAAAGTAGTGAAATTAGTTGTTGATATTGCTAGACATGACTGGCCACATTTCTATCCAGATTTTTATTCTAATATTTTACAGGTTTGTTAACATGGAATTTAAATACCAAATAAACTAATTTAATCTTAAGTTTAATTTTCTTGCATATATTAACAGTTATTGGGTCACAAACATACGAGATTATTAGGGCTCATCTACTTGCGAACAGCTTCAGAGGAACTAGCAACTCCAAGGGAAGACTTACCAGTACAAAGGAAGAATGAGTTATTTAGGTTTCTTAGTGCTCAAGTGCCTTTGACCTTGGATACTCTTACAAGTATTTCCTTCTATATATCTCGATTTTAAGATATACTTCTTATATATTTTAATTTTTACTTTATCCAATCTTACATGTTGTATCATTAGAATGTCTAATTTAATAAGTTTTTAAACAATATTTATCATTTTGAATAATATTACATTGTTTATATCTTCTTAAAAATAAAATTATTATATTTTTAATATAGTACTACTAAAAGAAGCAACAAAGTTACAATGTCGTTCTGGGACAGTTACACCACCTCCATCACCCACTAGTGGTCAGACTGTAGCACCTGTAAGAGCTATGTTAGATGTAGAGGGGTTAGCTACAGGAACAAGTGAAGTGTGTGTAGCAACACTGGATGTATTAGCACATCTTTTTAGCTGGATTGAATTATCAGAACATATTTCTACGAATTTACTGGAGGCTATTTTTACCTGTGCCAGGTATCATGATACAATGGTAGGATTTTTGTATCAGTTATTACAATGTGTTATAATTTAGACAGGAAATATTCTTATTTATCATATATTTTATTAATAGAACGGTAAACAGATGGAAATGGCAGTACAAGCTGTAACCACGATAAATGAACTTTTATATCGACCATTATGTTTTCCCGATATAACCGATAGGTTGTTAGTAGAAATATTTCAAAATGGAGTTACATTATTCCAGCTATTGGAACGCTTGGATTCTGTAAATGAAAGGTACAGAGTGATATATTTTACAAATATACATAATTAAACGTTACGCCTAAAAAAACGACATTGTATTTCTAGTTATATGGATAAATTGACAGAGTTCTTACAATTATTTATAACAAATCATTTGAAAAGAGTTGAATCATGTCCGAAATTTCCAGTGAATACATTATTAGAAGTTTTATGCCATCATACTTTTCAACAATGCTCAACAGTAAATGGATATCTACGATGTTTAGATGTTTGGAACACACTTTTAAAAAGCACTCAGTCTCGGTATTCTCCAGTAGAGTTAGCTCTTGCTGAGAGAGTATTGCAAAAAATGAGTTTTAAACTTAATACGCGCATCCTAAAGGATCTTGATACAGAAAGTTTAGATGAAAATGTGAGAACATTCACAAACTTTTATTGTATCTATTTCCTTTGATTGATATTTACGTCAATCTCCATATTTTGATTACAGGAAGAAACAGAGTGGCAGCATTTCTTAAGATGTAATATTGAATGTTTAGCAAAAGTAGCGGATATTTCTCCGATTCCAATTTTTACACTATTGGTAAAATTTTGACCAATTATACAGATATAGAACTTAATTTCTAGCCATTAATTATTTAAAATCTTTCAGTATCGTTCTTGGAGGGAAGGATTAACAATATTTGGGGAATTAGGAAGCGTTATTGCTAATAATCAAGTTACTTTGTTAAATGAATCAGAGGCATCAAATGTACACGCACATTTACGAGATTTGGCTTCTACTACTCAAGCACTAGCTAGATTATACTCACTTTTTCTTGGTAAATTAAGTCTTATTTAATAATACCATAATTACAATTTGGTAAAACAAGTTTTTAATATCAACAGGGAATGATCAGAGTATTGATCAATCACTTGCTGAGGAGCTGGTGTCTCAAACATTAGATGCATGTAAATTTGCGAAGACAAACCAGTTGTACAAAGCATCATTGCAACCAGCTGCAATTGTAATAGATCTTGTAGAAGTGTAAGTAACATTTATGAAGCAAAGTATTTTTAGTATATAAATTCTCAATTAAATTAATTTTATATTTGTGGTTGATTTTTCTTATCAGTCATTCACAGTTATTAGCATCATTACAAGCTTGGTGCCATTGGATAGCTAACAGAGCAGAGAAAACAAAAGAATCACTTTGTCAACGATGCATTGAGTCATGCATTTTGGCATTAGATTATACAACATTTTGTGATAATCCGCCACCAGCAAATTTAATTCATTCCGCTACACATCTATTCCAAAGCATTACTGTTATTTTGAAACCTGTTTTGTGGGATGAACCTACATTTAGAAACTTAATTAGCATGGTAACATATCCATTCTTCAAACCAGATACAATAAAAGTTTTGAGAAGAGCACTAGTAAATGCAATTATCTTACCACATGGCGATGGATCTATTAGAGAAAGATTATTAGGTAGATAAGTTTAAAAGAAATTACTAAATTTTAATGGTTACTAAATTGTTATCATTAATGTATGATTTTAAATTAAATAGGTACAATGATATCATCACTATCTACACCCCTTGGTTTAGAAAGGCAACCTATACCTTCAGAATCTACAATTTTAATGACAATAGTGCCATTAACACAGTTATTAGAAGACTGTTCTGCTTCGTCTACGACGATAAAAAAAATGTTACATTCATGTTTGGGACCAACTATAAATCGAACTTTAGATTTATTGCCCTATATGATAAAGTGTCAGGGAGTATGTGAAGTTCTGCTTGGTTTCTTGCATTCAGTCTTTTCAGTATTACAACAACAATTAGGCCCTGCATTTACTCAAAATGCAGTTCAAGGGTTATTACATATTTATACCAGGTACATAATATATCATTTGCTACTACTTTTATTGTAGGAAATTGATAATAGTTTTTGTCATATTTTTCATTAATTGATAGAGAGAATATATCTGCGGGACCCGCGTTGGATCAATTGTTAGAAATCTTAATATTGGTTGTATCAGCACCTAGCAATGCATTTAAAGCATTTGTTCCTTCAGTGACTAATTTATGTTTAGGCCAAGTATGGCCTGCTGTTGGTAATGATCTTAGTGTGTATCCAGACACTACACTTGTTTTATTAAAACTTTTTCACAGGTAAATGAATTATTTAATTCATTTTAATTTTAACTACTCTAATCATTAATTTAATTTTAATAAACAAATTTTGTTGTAGTATACTTATGCATAGATGGCAATATTTTTATAACACTTCTATATTACGTACGCTTGGTCATACTAATGAAGATGAATCTGTTCAACACAAGGAAGAATTGGTTGCAATTTTAGAAGCTTTCGGTCAAGCTCTTCTTCAACCAGATGTCAATATATTTCGTCAAAGTCTACAAAGTCTTGAACAGTTAAACGTGCGATGGCGACTTTATCAACGAGCTGTATTCAAAGTTCATTTACTCGAGAGATTTCTAATGGCATTATTTACTGTTCTATTTCAACAGTTAGTCGAATATTTCTTAATTATAATTTTGTATTTAAAATGATAAAACATTTTAACAATATTCATTTCCAGATCTCATAATTTATTAGCAGATGAAATTGCAACTGCCATTCATAGTCTAGCATCAGTTAATATAGTATGGTTTTTTGGACATTTCTTGCCAACATTTTTAGCTAGTTGTGAAGGTGTAGACGATATGCAAAAAGCGACATTATTAAGAAACTTTGATAGGTCTACTGTAAGTTGAACTTTAAAAAACTAACTTGTTCTACATAGTTTAACAAACAATTTTCTTATTAATTTTGTTACTTATTAATAGGATCAACCAACTTTGACAAGATCAGTGTTGCAGCTAATTTCTGATTTACGATGTTATCAATTTTGTCGACCTGGCTGAAATAATTGTATTATCATACAAAGATAGATTACGACATGTTCAATATAATTTCAATAATGACATTTAGAGAAAGCAGCATTTATAATGAATTTTCGTGCATTGAGGCATATACCAAACATTTTTGTAATCTTAAAATGTAAAAAGATAAAAATTGTTTTTTAAAGTTATTTATTCTATGTAAATCACTGCCGCATTGCATTGTGATGTTGCTAGTACTCTTGTTACAAAATAAAACGCGTTTTTCTAGTATTTTAATTATTACAGTTATATTTCCCAATTCAACCTATTTCACTCGATTTTATTAAAGTAACATATGTCGATTAATGAAATAAATACTTACAAAAGAATTTTTATTATAGGCTTCAAATAGAATTGTATATTGTTATCAAACTGGCATTGTAATTATTTTATAACATGTATGAAGCAGTTTAAAATTAATAACGATAATTTCTTGAAATATTTACTGTTTTAAGCTTATCATATCCCTCCTCTTTTTCTTGATAAGCAGTGATTTTGATAACCCTCAGTCTTTTTATATTGTGGTGTAGAGTTCAAAGAGTTAGTAGCAAATAATCGACAATGTTTCGTTTATTATCAAGAAAGAGTGCCTATGATCCTCAATTGCAGATAGTTAGACATTTGGTAACTGACCCAAAATATGGATTTTTAAGACAATTAGGTCTTACAATAGAGAATCCGGGTCTTTATGACGGACGATGGGGTGGATCTGGCAAGGTATTCCTTTTTATTTGTTCAATCATAGTATACAAGGCTTATCCATTTGGTTAATATTATAGTAAAGCTATTTTTAATATAAATTAATTAGTGATGTTAGTACAAAAATTAGTTTTACTCACATTATAATGCAGGTGATAGAATCAATTTCACCAGCAACTGGGAAAGTAATAGCAAAAGTTAGGACATCTACTCTTCAGGAGGCAAGCAACGCTATTACCGAGGCTCGTAAGGCATGGCCTCAGTGGGCATTATTGCCAGCACCTACAAGAGGTGAAATAATACGGCAAATTGGAGAAGAACTGCGAAATAATTTGAAGCCACTAGGACGATTAGTGTCTTTAGAAATGGGTATATTCTGTTTATCCACAAAATTTTACTTTTCAATTCTTTTATTTAATTTAGACACATAATTTTGCAGGGAAAATATTACCAGAAGGTATTGGGGAGGTTCAGGAATTTATTGACATATGTGATTATGCTGTTGGGTTGTCTAGAATGTTACCTGGTAGTATGTTTCCATCAGAAAGAAAAAATCATGCACTTTTAGAAAAGTGGAATCCTCTGGGTGTTATTGGAGTTATTTCTGCATTTAACTTTCCTATTGCAGTAGGCATTACAAAAAATAATAAAAAGATAGGTAAATTTATTTCAGAACATAACTATAATTAAAGAAAAAAACATCATCTTAGGTATATGGCTGGAATAGTGCAATAGCAATGGTATGTGGTAATGGTATTATTTGGAAAGGAGCACTTACTACTCCATTAGTTTCTATTGCAACTACGAAAATTATTACTGGAGTATTAGAACGAAATGGTGTACCAGGCTCTATTGCATGTTTAGTAACAGGTGGAGCAGATGTTGGTGAGACTATAGTTAATGATAGCCGGTAAGATGTAAAATTAGTAATTATAAGCAAATTCATATCATACCCCATACTATAATTACTATTTCTATTTCTAGTATTCCCCTTGTTTCATTTACTGGGAGTACTAATGTTGGAAGAAATGTTGCTATAAAAGTTCAAGAAAGATTCGGAAAATGTTTGTTAGAATTAGGAGGCAACAATGCATTAATAGGTAAATTAAGCATTGAGTAATAATAATTATATCATTATTATATAAGTATAGTTTTCAAATTTAAGTAATTTTTTATAATAGTTGCACAAGATGCAGATCTAGAAATGGCAGTTAGAGCAGCAGTATTCTCCTGTGTGGGAACAACTGGGCAGAGATGTACTACTACTAGAAGATTACTCCTTCATAGCAAAATAAAAGATGAATTTTTAGGTAAAATTTTATATTTTAGTTTATTGGAGAATATTTGATAAAATGTAACATATGAATTCGATAGGAAAATTAAAAATAGCATACAAATGTATTTTGGAACGGCTAGGAGATCCTTTAGACGATAATGTTTTGTATGGACCATTACATAATCAACATGCACTAGATGAATATAAGGTACAAATATTATATTAATATATATTTTGTTAATATGAAATTTATAGAAAATCTTATTTTTCAATTTATACCATAAAATATTATCGATGATAAATTTATAAATAGAAGTAAAACTCATTTTATTCTCGTTTTAATTTTATACAATACAAAGGTTAAATATAAATTAAAATACATAAATTTGAAATAAACACAGACTTACCAACTATCTTTCTGTTTTTAAAAGAAAGTAAATATAATTTATTAGAAAAATGAATTGAACGACTTCTATAAATTTCATATAATATTAAGAAATAGAATTTATAATTTTCTATAGCAAGCAATAGACAGTGCTTTACAAAATGGTGGTAAAATTGAATTCGGTGGAAAACAAATAAACAGAGTTGGCTTTTACGTTGAGCCAACAATCATATCTGGCTTATCATCCAAAGCTGAAATTGTACAAAAAGAAACTTTTGCACCAATTGTATATGTTTTTGAAGTAAATTCTTTAGAAGATGCTATTGCTTTTAATAATAGTGTACAACAAGGATTAAGCAGTTCTATGTTCACTAAAAACTTAGGAAATGTATTTCAGGTAAGCATATGATTATCAATATCAGTATTTTATAATGGAGTTATAAAATAAAAATTTTTATTTACCGATAAATACAAATATTTTTGTGCAGTGGATTGGTCCTCATGGTTCCGATTGTGGAATAATAAATGTTAATATTGGAACTAGTGGAGCAGAAATAGGAGGTGCATTTGGTGGAGAGAAAAGTACAGGTGGTGGTCGCGAGAGTGGAAGCGATGCATGGAAGCATTATATGCGACGTGCAACTATAACTATTAATTATGGAAATGAATTGCCATTAGCTCAAGGCATAAAATTCGAATAGTTAGAATATAAAATTGGTTTCATAAAAATATTTCAATGATTTAATAATTCAAATCGTATAAAATCAACCTGGACATCTACAGAGGCTTTTTTATGAAATTTATATGCTTTTGGTAGATCATATTTCAATTCTGCAATAACCTTGCCTTTGGCACCATATTGTGCAGCTTTCTGTAGAACATAATTACGTGTACTTCTTTTATGTAATGAATACACAACATTTGATGCCAATTTGGTTGCGATTTTCAAAAATTTCATATCTGTACCTGCATTACGCTTTGTACCAAAAGGTGGATTCATAATAACAGTATCGAAATACTTTTCAAATCGTCCTGCAACATAATCATATAAGGATTTGTATATAATTTTATAAAGAAGTTTCACATACTTGTACACATATACCTGGTAAATATCGTAGTATATCACACTGTACAGCTTCTACAAATAATTCTATTTCACTACAATTTTTATATTGTATCTTAAGTGCATCAGCGTCTATTTCAAAACCAATCACATGACTCGATCCAAGCATCTGTGCACCCAGTGATAGAATACCACACCCACAACCTAAGTCAGCTACCGTACGGCCCTCAATATCAGCGAATTGTATTTGAGCGCAATATAACATGTGCGATGCAATATGAGCACTAGTAGAATATTGTTCAAGTAATACTTTTGGCTCATCAAATCCATCCAACTGTTGCAAATACTCTTCTAACTCGGAAAGTTGTACGTTAGCCATTTTCTTTATTCGATTATCACCTAGTGTTATCTTTTAGATTCAGTAGTTTCAAAATGTACATTCACAAGCAAGTATTTAATCCATATTTATAATCACTTTCACCATACTTATCGTTAATTAATTACGCATTGTTTAAAGTATGCAAGTTAATTTTTTTATTTAGTATCAAATCTAGGGAGAACTGGTAAAATAAGATTACCAAAAGAAGAATCCTGTGTCACAAAATATCCTGACGATGCTGCATGTGCATTATGTAAAGCAGCTCTTTGCGATGCACTCATTGTGACACCATCAGAAGGCTGTGTTGAAGGCTAAAGAAGTAAACGTATAATAATTTGATCTATAGGAAACGAATATATAAAATATTTATTTACCAAATTAGAAGGAGAACTCGACGAAGTAACAGCTAACGACGTATTCAATGTTGGTGCGACACCTTGTTTTAAAAGCATTTGTTTCTTTAGTTGCAATTCTTCTAAGATTTTTCTGTTTTGTAATTCTATAATCAGTGCAAGTAAGGGGCTAGTTTCCATTGAAAAGTAACATAATTATAAATAGTATTACCTCTTGAATTTGATTGTGAAAAGGCCATCAAAATTTTGATTTTCAATCTTTACGTACGAGTGTTATATTATAAATCTATATTTATGAAGCATGAAAGTAGATGAGAACTGAAAATAGGTTACATCGTGAGTTAACGATAATGCAGTTAGCAGGTCCAATTTATTTCTGAATTTTACCTAAAAAGTGTATAAATGTTTCTAAATAAACGTATGAAGAAAAGAAAGAAATAAAAAAATGAGATTTCAAATATCATTAAAAAATATTCATATTTATTTGTACAGCTTTTATAATCGTTTATTACCTTAAACCCTTTAAAATATAAAATTTCCAAAAATACGTGGATAGAGTTGTACACTTATACTTTATTTAATTTTTTGTATACTATAGCTATTTATTTATTGTTTTATTCATATGCAGTTATTTACAAAGTGAAAAATTTGATATAAATAAAATAGTTTTACGTACTCTTGAAGATTCCCTAACTTACTCATAAGATGGTATGAATATAATTAATGAAAAATTCCCTAGTGTTAATAGAATGGTCGAATGCGGTGTTCTCGCGGACATTGAGAAAGATTAGTGACATCGATACTTGGCGCATGCGTTGAGAAGGAAGACTTTCGCAGGCGCCACCTTGTGAGATAGTTCTGTCGCAGAAGTTATCTCGAGTAGTTGTGTGGTTGTGCTCGTCCGGTTTTCTCGTGATTTTTTCCGTTCTCAAAGGATCTCGGTTACTACTACTCCAACAAAAAGAGTGAGTATCAAAAACTAAACACGCGGACTTTGATTTCCACGTTGTATTTGTTACCGAGTAGATTGATCTGATTGTAAAATGTACAGCAACCAGACGTGACAGGTTCTAGCAAAATGGCCGTGCACGATTTACAACAAACGGTTGTTCTTCGTTTACTCGAGGATTTTGTAGCAGTGCTTTCTGGCCTATGTGACATTACCTGACAACGTATACTCGATGAAAATCTAATTAAGATATCGGTGATTTTCGGTCAGCCTTTCAGCCATGTTCCACACATATCCAATGTACATGTTGCACGTCACTTGGAATTGATTTTTTCGCGAATGACCGTTTGCGTTGTGCAGCAACACAACCGCTTTGCCACAACTTTCGAATTCCTATAGTTAAACCTTTATACCGAATTTCATTTTCTTCGATCTCGAATATTCTTATCTGTCAGACAAGCAACAATGAGAAGTGATGTGATTGCACATTTTGGCAGACGTTTGCGCTAGCTGCTGTCGAAGCAGCGATCAGCTGTCGAGTCTGTCATTGAATTGAATTTTTGATAATGTTCTTACGTAGAATGTAAATCCATTGATATTTATTTTATTAACTTATCATAGATTTACATGTTTCAAATATTTTACCATGCTAGCTAACCAAATCACTGCCAAACTAGAGTCACACGGTTTTATTCGAACGCGCGAAAACAAGATTATCATTTTACGAGATGCGAACGATCTCGAGTAACTTTCTCTGTCAACACGTAATGCGATTAGTTAAAAAATAGTGAAGCTACAGGTAGATAGGTGCGCTGAGTTGAAAAGGCCAAAAGTTCCTCAGCCGTATTAATGATCCTGAAATAGCTATTGTAAAAGATTATTGGTCATTAATATTACACGAAAATCTTATCTTAAATCCGTGAATTAGAAAGCAAATTCTTATTGGTTGAATTGCTACTATTCAAAGGTTGTTTCAAATTCAGACGCTGTGAAGAAGAAGAAAAAAAGTGAAAGAAGAGGAGGAGGAGGAAGAAGAAGAAGAAGAAGAAGAAGAAGAAGAAGAAGAAGAAGAAGAAGAAGAAGAAGAAGAAAAAGAAGAAGAAGAAGAAGAAAGAGAGAGAAAGATGGATTTAAAAAAGATGATATCAAGAGAAAAATATTTGTGATATAACTAAACAATTTTACGATATATATTTATAAGGTATATTAACGTGTCTGGATACAGAGAATCGAAGGAGGTTATCATGAATATTTGAATACACTGTAAGGTGAAATACATGGCAACGAGGGTGGGCGGACAGCCGGTTTATCGATTACGGCGCATCGCGCCGATAAGCATCGTCATAAAGTGTCGCGACGACGCTGCGCGCTTTTTCGATTGTCAAGGTCCTTCCTCCTCTTAAAGTGTTTCTTTTCATCGCACATATTTTTGCCTATGAAAACAAAACGTAGCACTGTTTAAAAGTGCTCTTTAGTTCTCGAATAGGCTAGGACATTTCTACGGAAACATGGCTGCTGCTTTCGATAGGTTCATTCTAATTGGTTCATTTCATTTTTTCCTATTCGTTAATGACGAGAAGAAGCTTTTTCCTTGAAAGGGTATTTATACCGAAATCAAAGCTATTCACCGATAAATACCAATACTTTGTCCAACTTGACTGACTTGAAATGACCGATCTTCGTTTTATTTATCTTTAGTTGCTTCCCTTTCCGTTATCCTGTTCTTCATATTTCTTTGCCTCAGTATATTATAAGAGAAAAAAAGCAAAAGAATAATCTTGAAAATTTTCGAACGGTATAGAAAAAGGCGGAAAATTTTACCGGCCAGTATAGGTAAATATAGCAGTATTTTCATATAGCGGTACGAGCTCATACTGGTCTCGGTTTTTATACAGTTTCTGTATTTCGGTTTTTACAGTGATTATGAGGAGGTATAGCAGGAGCCACGGTCATACTAAGGTCGTAAAATCGGTTAGGCATTAAAGTAAACATATTGAGTTGCCGGGACGAGTGATTAACAGTAATATGTTTACACTCTCCAATGTTGAATTCAAATTTACATTTCTGAACTGTAAGTTCTCCTACCCTCTCTTTCCGCGACCGATTAGGAAGAAATTTGATGGAAAGGATGGAGTACGGTAACGAAACTAAATTAACTAAATTAAAAATTTCAGCGCCGGGTATTTAATAGTTAAGAGTTTCGAGTGTTGCAACATCGATCAGTGCTGATCTTTTTAGGGATTTTATCTACGATCTCACCTATGTCTTGACAATTTGGTTTATGACCTCGCTATATCGGGACCGCTACCGATACTACAATACTACCGATATTTACTGGTATGTGATACCCGTATTTTCTTCCGTTTCGGCAGGGGTCCCTGCTTTTCAGATCGTTCTTTCAATACCATTGTTTTATCTTACTTATTTCAACGTAGCTGAAATAAGTAAGAAATTTTCTTTTTTCCCACGAATTATATTGTATAGCATGTGAGTGGATTTTGATCAGTATAAATACAGATGAATACAATTCACGTTTTGCTCTTTCTACGCTGTTTGTTCAAAGTCGGAACGAAGTGTTGCAGTAGTATCAGAAAATGATTATAAATCAAAATTTCTTAATTTTTCCTTTCGAATATCGCTATGATTTTATGCAAAATTATGAAACTAATCAGTTATGAGGACACGAATTTAGCTTATATTAAAAGAATATAATGCACCATGCGGAATATTATTTTATGTGATGCCACGATACGGAAAATGTAAAAGATACATGCTAATGTTTACAAATATTTTTTACATATTTAAATGACAGTTATGCAATTGTTAGACCTGTGCATGAACAGCCGGTTTCTTTACCCCCTCTCCCGTTTCCCTTTTTTCTTTTTATATATAACATTCACTTAAATCCAGAAGCCTTTTCGCAGGCAGAAGGATATTTCTCGTTACAGACCTTCCTTCGCATTAGCACATTTTTATATTCTATTTTTTATTCTAGTCTTATTATGTATTAAAAATGAGAACTATGCAATATTGGTTATATAAACTTTTTATAAATATTCTGGTTTTACAGAGAAGAAACAAGGTTTTCACTTTGAATATCTCTTTTTTCCAAACAGTTTCTCAACCATTATATATAAATATTTCCTCTGTTGTTAAGATGGTCAGTTTGTTTCATGAGAAATAATTACATTAAATTTATTTCAATAATTTCGTCAAATAATTTTAGCGTATTTATTAAGTTTGACTATTAACCTAACCATTAAAATAATGTGAAAAAAAATATTTATCGATTTCTTCAATTGTACCTATAATTGCCTAAAATTGTTCTATAATTATACTAAAATTCCAATGCTTTTATGATTATTTTACAACTTTAACGTTCATGCATCAGCACTGATGCTTTTCTGATTTATTCACGACAGAATAATGAAACATCGTTTATCATGGGATTATTTTAAAATAATAAAATTATATCTCAAGGTAATGAATAAATGCGGATTTCAAAAAAGAAAAGTAGTTGCTTAATGTTGTAATACTGAAATTGTAATACTGAAATTGAAGGACAGATAGTTTTTATGAAAATTAAGAGTTACCCAAGACAAGTATAAAAAAGGAACATTGTTAATTTTTTTTCGGTATTTATTTATTTATTTATTTATTTATGTATTTATTTTTTACTTCTTTTTGCTTTTTTTATAATTTTAGTATATAGCGTTTTTACGCTTTACTTTAGTTACATAAATATGTAGTCGTTCACGTAATAAGGAGTTTTCATTTTTAATTATTATGATTTATTTGAAGGTTGAATTCGGTTAAAAATTTATTATTTTGTTTCAGATTGCTGGCCATGTCGGTGTTTGAGTATTAATCAGGAGCTGACTGGAGAAATATCTATTTCTCATTAGCTCATTCGAATCACTGTTGTATCAGCCAGTAAACACACGCGAGGATCATGAAAATGGTGCTGTCTCTACGTCAGAGGGAGGAGCTGTAAGTTTGAAATTTACATTCCATATTGTACATAAGTTAATATTGTAAATTAATCGTAGAAATATCGTATAAAAAATAACAAAACATCTGCTGCTCTTGTAAGCTAAATCATTTCCTCTCCCCCCCCCCCCCCCTCTCTCTCTCTCTCTCTCTCTCTCTCTCTTTCTCTCTCTCTTTGTACAGTAATTACATTTACATTGAATTTCATTCATACAATTTCTCCATTCTTGAGTTTAGAATATTTTATTTATGTTATTATGATACCCTTATTCTACGCACGTATGCACACGTGCATGATGAAGAACTGGGGGAATGGGGGGATGGATTTGTAATTTAAATAGAAAATTAGAACAGTAAATATGTTATTGTTATTGTGAAATATTTGCGGAAAAGGAATATGCCACGAGAAATTTTTATTACGCGATTATAGCGAGAGCATACTGTGTTACACATAATGCATACTAATTAATATCGAAGGCACATCATGTATGAGTTACGATATTCGCATATTAAGGGATACAGGAGAGAATAACTTAACCATTTTTTGAATCTGTTTATCTTTAAACAATTGTTGATCGGTTATTTCCAAATTAGCAGATTGGTTTGAACAAGGATGAACCAATACATGAAAGATGAGCATAGAAGAAAAATGTATGGACAATCTTTCCTTTAAATTGAAATTTTTCAAATTTCGACAATTCTTTTATCAGATGATCAGAGAAAAATATAGGTGAATTTTTTGAATCGAAATTAAAACTATGTAAAATAGTTTGCTCTGTTATAAATATATTTAAATATATTCGGCTAAGTAAATAAATATGAGAGACTAAATATACACATAAAGAATAAATAGAGAAAATATTTCAAGTTTTATTAGAATGAACTTTAGATATTTTACAAAATATTTTATTTCCTGGATACCTAAATTTGAAGTTTTTAAATAAATACCCTGTACTTATTTTTCTTTTTTCCTTCTTCGTGAGAATAGGTAATACGTTAACATGTTAATTGTTGTCAACATGTGTAGAAATGCGATGTATATAATTTGTAAGGACATCGTGGTTTTATTTGCGCAAATAAGAAAGGTTGAAAAAGACTACAACAGAACGAAATTTTATCCAATAAGATCGCATTAATTTCAGTTGAATACGCAAGAACAAAAGGCCTTATTAGGTTACTCGTTACTTTCCTTTTCCTTCATGCTTATAAAGGTAGAATTTAGCGATGGAATTAAAAATATTTATGATTATTGACATCTACTTTTGTCCAGGTATTTTGAAACCTGTGGAATACATATAAGTCATTACTGATTAATAAAGCTAGAAATGAATAGAATACAAATACGAATGAAATTTAATGTTGCGTACGAAGATAGTAATGGTAGGCGACAATTGAAGTATAAGTATTGATTTTAACATATCTAGCGATATTAAATTAATAAATAAACATGATGTGATATTTGTTAGCGATATTTTTATTGATATTTATTGATGTTTTATTAAGTAACATCTTGAAAAATGTATTTGATGAATCATAACGGTTTTTAGTTAACTATTTTTTAGTGTAATTAAGTGTATTGAAGTGTAATTAATAATTAATTATATTCAAGTATTATCGTAATAAGAAGTATAAGAAATTTCAGTATCATTTTAATAGGAAATATTAGACAAATAATCATAATACTTTGTCGTGCTAATGCTGTTATATTCGAGAATTGCATGTAAAAAAAGTTAATAATTATAAAATATTTTTTGTACACATTTTTAGATGTTTACATAATGTTTCAAAATTCACAACAAAACGAAATTTACTACAATTTTGGTTTTATTAATATTGTATTTGTAACTGAAGAAACTGACGGACTCTAGTGGTGAAATTTAGAGCTTTAATTCAATAATAGTTGAATTAAATACCAATTTTGTAGCTTAAATAACGGGCATTGTAAGTGATTACTCACAAACTGGCTATAGGTAGTTGACAGCTATTTTAAATTTGACATGTATTACTTCACGTGTTACTTCACGCGTAACGGATAATTTCACAAATAATAATTTTACAAGTATAAACTTATCCAAAAGAGATGTGACAATAAGGAAAAATTATGTATTTATGAAGTAATAATGAAAGCTTGATTCATGAACAAGCAGTGTAAAGAAAAACATCGTATATCTGATACTACATACCGGGGATTTTTTTTAACTTCAGCACACGTAATCTATATCTGTTATTTTTAATGATAAAAAGAGACAAGTATGGGAAAACTGGCATGGACAGTTTTACAGGGCAAATATAATGGTACGCAAAACCATTACACTTTTTCCCTTTTTTTTTTTCTTTCTTATTTTTCAAAATCATTTAAGTTCAAATTTGAAGGTCGTTAACGATTTCCTAAATGAAACTATGTTTTCATTAATGTAATATCGTAGCTGGCAACAAAACGAATTCATCCGTCTATAATAGCATGACCTGTAGATTACGTTAAATACTAAAAATCACGTTTTTACTTGAAAATAAATTGAAATATACATGAGCGTGTTCTATTTCATGCAACTTTTCCCTTACACATGTTTTTCTATCGTCAGAAATAACAAAGGTATTACGCGTGGTTGAGATAAATAAAAATAACACTCTGCTTATAATATGTAAATGTGAATAAAAACTTCGAAATTTGCCAAGTCGTTAAAATCATTGAAATACTGTTATTTTCCTTATACCGATATTAAATATTTTAAGTTATATATAATACACATAATTTTGACTATTCTGTGACAGAATGATAGGACTGTTGTGTATATTTGGTATTTTTGAAAAATACTGCATATATACGCACACATATGTATACTTATGAATTATCTTTGCCGTTATTCACATTGTTTTCGAGCATTTGTACTTATTAGAAAAGGAAGTTGGGGGAACCGGAGAATCGGAGCTGATTGTCCCTAAGGATGACTAATTGTTAATAACTTTACAAAGATATGTTTCTGAAACAATCTATTCGAAAAATAAACGCTAACAAATTGACTATACGAATAAATATTTTTTCTTGAAGGATCTATGCTTTCATGCAGAGTAAATGTTACGAAAGTATTTTAAGGTTTATTTCTTAGATGATTTGTGGAAATAGTATCTTTTCCTTTTCCTTTTCCTTTTTTATACAGTTTAGGACATTTCCGGAAAAAGGGCTCGTGATGTCAACATGAGATATCAAGTAAATCGCATTTGAAGTTTTAGTTTTAGCTTTTTCAATATATAGCTTTGATCGAACTGTTAACTAGGTAGATCGTAATGAACACCGTTGTTCCGAGAAAGTGTACAATATAAATTTATTACATACATTAACATCATTTTGAAGATAAATTAATACATTTTAACTATTCTGCATATCCTCCTTCCATAAATCGAGGCGAAAGGAATAATGCAATAATAATTATGCTACAAATATGTGACATGTGTAAAATGTGTAAAATATATTCAATCCTATCTCGTGATTTATTACATTTTTCAAACATTCTATCCAATCATTCTATCATTCGCAACTATCTCTTTCTTTTGTTTGAATTTAATATATTTTAATTTTTCTATAATCGTGTCACCGAGTAACGCAGCGGAAGCCAATATAAAATGATATAGAAATAATTTAATCATGCATGGTGCCGATTGATAATATCCGGGCTTACACGACTAGCTTCATCTACAGGGAAAAATACTGAAAACTGTGGGGAGAAAAACAAAAAAAATAAACAGGAAAAGGAAAGAAAGTTATTCATTATTCGCCTGATTTTATATGTAAAAACTGCGCATGAGATTGCAACGAAATGTATGTATCTTTACATTTCTATAATACTTGAATTTTTTTTTTTTTTTTTAATTTTTATTTGGTTATTATGTTTAAATTTGATTAACCTGTATATTCATACACTATAATTCGTGTTTAATTTACCTCGACCGAGGGATTAGTTGAGCAGCATGACAAATGTTAAAAGAAACACATTTATATACTTTGCTTATTATCGAATTAAGCCAACTTTGATCGTCTAATCGTTGATAGTCAAATGTACAAGATAAGATAGTTAAGTAATAGTCAGGTAGCCAAATGACTGTAATGATGATATTTCACGTGAAAATAAAAGAACTGGCTTATCATTTCCGGTCTTCCTTATTATGAAGGACATCGATACAGTTGTCCCATGAAGGACGTACGTGTTCGAAACATCGATATACCACGTAACTGGAAATCTGCGTAACTTGAAGGTTCATTCTCTTTATTCTTTATTATCTATACACATAAGTCGTTGACCAGAAACGTTAGTTATGTGTAATGTTGTACGTACATATCCTAAACGTGAAATATGTAGGTTACGAGAAAGAAAATACTACGTATTTAGAGAGATATATCGTGTATTAAATATAGATTCTACAGACCTAATAATATGTAATATCTAAATACCAATTAGTACATTTGTTTTCGTTTTAGAATCTTTATTGGATTTCGAACATAGAGCGTATATGTAGTGTGTAAAGTACAACAAGTATGCAGTATTAATATATTCGTGGAGTTCTTAAGTTTGTTAGATAAAGGGAGATAGATATACGTACCGGTGGTGAATTTAAAGAACGCAAAGAAACTGAGTATAACATAAACAACAAAAAAAAACAAAGTGTGCGTGCTTCGAAACAACGTATCATTTCTTTTCGTTAAAATTTCTAACTTGCTGTTAGGAAGTGATTAGAATAATCTTGTTTGTTTGTTTGTTTGCTTGCTTCCTTCCTTCCTTCCTTCCTTCCTTCCTTCCTTCCTTCCTTCCTTCCTTCCTTCCTTCCTTCCTTCCTGGTTTTGAAATCTTCAAACCACCCGAGTCTCCTCTTCCCATTTCCTTCCTTGCTTCCTTCCTTCCTTCCTTCCTTCCTTCCTTCCTTCCTTCCTTCCTTCCTTTCTTTCTTCCTTTCTTCCTTTCTTCCTTTCTTCCTTTCTTCCTTTCTTCCTTTCTTCCTTTCTTTCT